TTAATCACTTTTTTTAGATCTGGTGGTGTACGATCAGAAAGAATTGTTACGCAACAATCAAATTGATTATTATTATTATATGTGATTACTATTATTATTCTTATTGTTTTAAATCTTTAATTTAATTTAATTTTTTCTATATATTTTAGAAAGGGAATATGCATATCCATTTTATTAATTAATTATTAGCAATTATTCAGTTATTTATCCATTTTATTAATTAAATTTATTTATCCAATGTTATTAATTAAATTTCCATAAATGTATCATATTCACAGAATCTATAAAAACATGGAAATGTACATATATTCATTAATATAAACAGAAAAACACTGAGATTAATCATGGAATAAATTTTTAGCAAGCCTGAAAAAATTTAGACACCTATCTATAATTGCAACTTTTACAACAAAATGTAGTCGTGCCATACAATTAACAACAAAATGTTGCAACTTTTTGCGACAAAATGTTGCAATTAATTACGACAAAATGTTGCAACTTTTTACAACAAAATGTTGCAATTAATTATGACAAAACGTTGCAATTAATTATGACAAAACGTTGCAATTAATTACAACAAAATGTTACAATTATTTACGACAAAATGTTGCAATTATTTATGACAAAACATTGCAATTAATTACAACAAAACGTTGCAATTAATTACAACAAAAAATTGCAATTATTTACAACAAAACGTTGCAATTAATTACGACAAAATGTTGCAATTATTTATGATAAAATGTTGCAATTATTTATGACAAAATGTTGCAATTATTTACGACAAAATGTTGCAATTAATTACGACAAAATGTTGCAATTATTTTTTTACAACAAAATGTTGCAACTTTTTGCAACAAAATGTTGCAATTAATTACAACAAAATGTGGTACACTTTTGTCCAGCATGGCGTGCCATACTAGGTGTCCTGCACCATATATAAATATTTAAATGGAAAATTTTTTTAATTTGTATCACCATTAAAAATCACGTGATACAATTTTATTGCATTTTTGAACATAAATAATTGGTGTGTTAGTGTTTGTCAATCAAATAACAAATCAAATTTTTTTTCAAAAAAAAAAAAGCCAAAGGACAAAAAATCAAAACCAAAAGAACCAAAGAAAAATACATTGAAAATGCAAAATTATTTGTTAAAGAGAATGACAGTGGTTATTGCTGCTTGTCTCCACTCTAGTTTTTATACTAAAATTTTGATTTTGTATTTATTTATTAGACCATCACAAACAAATGATGATAATAAAGTAAGTAATAGGTAATAGGTGAATTGTATTCTCAGTGAATGATAAAACTGACTGTTTTGATATTGATACACAGGAAAACACATTAGAGTTGGACAAAGAAATCACTAAATTGAAAAATAAATTAGCAAGATTAGAAAAAAGGGAAGGTAAACAGATCTCACCATTCCATTTCATTTATCCATTTGAGAGATATGTTTATCTATCAAATTTCTCTTATTCATCCATCAAAATCACTATACAAATTTTGCAGTCTTATAAATTATTTATCTATTTATACTTTTCTCTATTCCTATATTTATACAACTAGCTGAACAAAAATTTGATAATGATATAGAATACATTGAGAAATGAGCTAAGCTGATAAAATCATCACCATCTGAGTTTGCAAAAATATGAAATTATTCAAAAACATTATCAGCTTATATAAAACCAATGGTAAACTGCTTACCAGCAAATAATTTTGACATGCCAATTACTCTTTATCATGAAATATTTGGTTCATTTTTAAGCAATTGTGAGAACCAAAGACTAGTGCCGTAATCCAAAAAAGGAAAAAGGATGGTTGCAAAAGTGGTTGCAAAGGTAATTGTGACCACTTTTTATATGCCATAAATACAATTACCATAATTTATGGCACTAGTCTTTAGTGAGAACATCATCATAACTGACAATGATAAATTAAAAACATATGAACTACAGTCTAGAATTAGTAGTTTTGTTAATAATGATGATGAAAAACAAAAATGTATAATTTTTTGTAAGTGGGCTTGTGAATTTTTTCAGCATGACACAATACAATATATTTTTGATGATAAATCCTAGATAGATGGGTTTGGAGGAAAGAAATTTGTGGAATTACATTATTATTAACAATATATGAATTCAAGACTATAAATCACAAAATGATCCATACATACAAGTATGTACATATTATACATGAAGTCAAAATGTTTCGACTTGAGGCAACTACATAGTAAAAATCAGTTTTGACCTTATTTCGGCCCTATTTCAACCAGATCTGCAAATGGTTGAAATAGTTTTGACTTCATGTATAGTACATATTATACAAAGTATTTCACAGAATTAAAATGTAATTCACATCTCCTGAACATAACTTGCTGTCCAGCTTTTCTTGTTTACACCACTGGACATTTTTTCAGGATCGCTGGTGGAGTCATAGGAAAAAATATAACAATCACTCCTCTTGTTCATGGCTCATTTCTTTTCAGGTGTGAAAAAGAATCTTGGCTGAATGAAACAGCATGAATCTTTGTTGCTTTATAAAAAGCCAATCTGCAGTTGGAGAATTATTATACAGGAATTATGAAAAAATATGATAGCATCACAATTAAATATTCATCAGGCATCTTTTCCATTTGTGAACTTTTATACAACAACTGAAGAAAAAACAATCGAATTCATCTATCAAAAATGCATATTCAAAATAAACTTGTATTTCAAATTGAAGAATCATTAACAAAAATCAAGCATATTTTGAAATTTGTTACATCATATGGTACTAATGTACACAAACACTGCTTCGAAAATGGCATTGCCCCGGAATTAATATTTGTTGGGAATAAGATCAAGAATACAGACTACATGACTATCATTTTGGAAGACCTTGCTGAGTTTAAAGAAGTATATGAAATATGGGAAGATTTAAATCGGAACCAAAAAGAAAGCTTAAAAAAAAATATATTAGATGCATTACATATATTGCAAAATGGTAATTTTGTTCATGGTAACTTTTGTTTCAATAACATAATGGCAAGATTGGATCCTAACAAGATTTGGTCTGTAAAAATCATTGATTTTGATTGGGCGGGATATAGTGGTCAAGTGAAATATCCTTGGTCATTAAACACATCACTTCCATGTCATTTGGGTGTAAAGCCATGTGCAATAATTATTCCTTCACATGATAGAGATATGATTAACGGATCTTTTAGAAATTAGTTTGTTAATAATATTGAAAAATATTAAAGTGCGAATGGGATTATTTTATTAAAAAATTAATAATTTTTTTACATTTATGTTTTTTTTTATTACAATGGTTGAAATAAGATAGTGTATTTATTTAGCAATATAGTGAATGGAAAACATGTGGTATTTAGAACAGGGTTGTGCAATTTTGCTGTACGAGAAGAATCTTCGTACATACGTACGAATGCATGAATGTACAATGTATCAGGAACGATGATTTTCTGCAGTGACAAAATATTACTTTGTAAAATCCTATAATAATAATATTAAGCCGATAACCTATTATATAATTAATGGATTACCAGATGTTGTACCTGATTATCATGTTATATGTGCTTATTTAAATCCCTTGTTATTATGTAGTAGTATTATATATGTTATTGTTATAGTCAGTGTTGTGCAATTTCATTGTACGAACGTACGATGATTTTAAAATATTATTTTATAATAATATTATGCTGTCAGCCCTATTACTATTACGATTACTATAATTAAAGGTCGTAACAG